CCGCAGTTACTGTCCCTGTTCTCGGGCAGATGGTGGACATCTTCGCTTGCGATGGTCGAACTTACACACCTTTAAGATACATCAAATCTCTCTGAAAAACAGTTATGTCACATGCTGCATTTTCCGAAATAGGAAAAAATGTGCAACGTCCATCATACGGAGGATTGTATAACAACGAAGTGCCCAATAAACGCGCAAAAACCTACCGACTAAGAACCTGCGGCAGTGATGATATAATGGGTCCGTAGGCGCGAGAATTGTCAAACAGTTCAAAGAGCGGGGCAGCCACCAGCTTATAGTTGGACGGTACTGCAAACAGTGTCTTTTCGGGAAGCTGCATAAGATAGAGGCGGGTATGCTCCTTCGGTTTTGTCACGTGAGCAGGGATGTAGGGATAACGTGGAGGCTCAAAATTCGGTCGCCACCAGTTGCCGATGCATTCCTCTGGAGTCCACTCGACCGGCACACCATCTGTACGGCCGAGCATCTGCAAGCAAGAATAATTGCCATGAATAGATTATCACCAGCTTGATTACTAAGGATTTTGTTATCACCACTATCATTTGCTAGATCGACAAAAGCGGTCGCGAGGCTCGTGAGAGTAATGATGCGAACAGACGAGAACGACGAGAATGAGAGGTTCTTTTACTCTTCAAATGACGCTTGGAGCCCCAAAAAGGGTGTCAAGGGCAAAAGTGGACTTTTTCAGCCAGAAATAAAAAAATAATGGTTTGAAGACGATAACTACCACACTGTTTGGTGAGGCACCCCATTAATGTTAAGTGATAGAAAATTCAAGCAGCCAATACAACTATTAAGCACCCCGAATGGATTCCAGTCCTAAAAACGACCTGCTAGATAGCATGCGACAGGGCTATGCAAAAAAATGTGCCAAGAGGGCCTACCTGAAAGAAAAAATCGAGTCAACACAGCAAAGCACACGCGCTATAAATAACCGATTGCATAAGGAGTTCTAGATAGCTCTGGGAAGAGGAAGGGTACTACTCAGCTCACTGAAGAAAGGTAGTAAGCATCAAGAGTGAGAGTTCGACATGGGAATACGACAAGTAGTTGCAAAGGAAGAACGTCGAAGCTGGAAGTCGTTTACCAGAGGACAGAGGCGACGCATGTCAGCACGCATTAAATATGCCATAGACAGGTTTAAGGCATCGTTTAAGAGATTGCCGTTACACCGAGACGCATACGAAAACAAAGAAAAAAATTCCTAATCGTTGAGGCAAACAAAATATAATAACTAGTGCTTATTAGTACTTGCATCGTTAACTAAACAGTCGTGACAATTCTTGCGTTGCGCGTCGACATACTGCCTTTGGCGAATCACTATTAATGAAGATTAAGATAACGAACGGAACAATTGAGAGGTAAAAAATGCAGCTTACGTCTGATAAGAGCCGCTTGAGGCCCTCCATTTCTTCCTCTCCCGGATGCAACTCACCACCAGGAAGTTTGAAAAAAGTTCCTAACTGAAGTAACAACACGTGCGGCAGGTTGTGTTCATGCACAAGAAGAACTCCTTCTACCGAACGTCGCATGCCATACTTCTCAAAGTCTTCTTGTAGGCGCTGGAACCTTGCAGGAACGCTGCGGTCGCGCTCATAATTGGGCTCCTTGGTCCCGAAGCTGTAGCTCTTTAGAGGATACCTAAAA